TCTTTCTGCAGCCCTGTCCGTGCGCACACTACGGTCCACGCAGGACAAGTGGGCACATGCTGGATGGTGGCCCTGGGGCCCATGAAGCTGCCAGTGTGTGTGTTGACACCAAGGCTGCGGGGGGGGGGGGGGGGGGGTCAAGAAAGCAAGGGAGGGGCGCGGGGCAAGGAAGGTGGGCGGCGGGAGCGGCTGGGGGGGGGGGGGGGGGGGGGGGAGATGCCAAAGAGCAGGGCAGGGGCCTGGGGAATCAGAGCACAGGGCAGGAAGTCGCCGAAGTGCTGGAATACAGTCGAGTCGCCCACTGTTTCTGTGTTCACCAGTTTTGGGGAGGTGGAAGCGAGAAGGGCAGGAGCTCTAGGCCGGCCTTGGCCACGTAGCGAGCTGGAGGCCAGTCTGTGCTACCTGAGACCCCATCTCAAAAACCAGTTTTGAAACAAAAAAGGTGAACCCCAAGAGGTAGCCCTGTCTCCAGACACTGACATTCCTCCCTTCCCCAATTCATGGCACCATGAAGCTACTTTCCATTTCTGGCTTTGGCTTCCTAGAAATTTTCCACCATGGAGTCCTTCATCACCAAGCTCTTTCTACAGCCTCAGCTGTGTCCCCCCAGCCCTAACCCTATCTCTCCACAGGCCGCAGGGGAAGTCCTACCTCTACTTCACACAGTTCAAGGCTGAGGTGCGGGGTGCTGAGATCGAGTACGCCATGGCCTATGTGAGTGCCAGTCATGGGGGCCTGAGGAGGGAGGATCTGCAGAGCCCCAGATACCACTCACCGCAAGGGACGGGACCCCATGTCACTTAGCCACCCTGCTGACCTCCAGGGCTCACACAGCAAGAGGCCCACGACAGGGGTGCCTGGCCCATTCATCTGCATAGACCTGCTTCACCTCAGGAGGCTAGAAAAACAGGGAGGTTGGCAGCAGAGGCCACTGTGCCCTGCCGAGTGGCTGGAGGAGGCAGGGTGGGCCAGGTGGCCTTGGCCCACTCCTGTCCCTCAGGTCAGCTGATGACAGGCTCTGCTCTCAGAGCAGCAGAGCTCTTCGGCAGCCTCAAGTGTGTTGTTGGGAGCTAAGGTGACAGACTGCGCTGTCCGTCATCCATGAGCTGACCCTCAGCTTGGATTCCACGCTGGGAACCCTGTAGCCTCCCTAGCAAGCATGCCTGGCTTTAGGCCACATGCTCAGGAGACCGAACCAAAGGGACTGGAGGGGGCTTCTCTCTCAGTGACGTGTCTGCCTAAGTGCTCTGTTCAATTTTAGTCCAAAGCCGCGTTTGAGAGAGAAAGTGATATCCCCCTGAAAAACGAGGAGTTTGAAGTGACCAAGACAGCAGGTAGGTAAAGGTGGTCCCAGCACCCAGCGAGAGCCATTCGGAGAGGTGGAGGAGGGTCCTCAGAAAGGGCTGTGGACTGAATATAAGCCACTGGTTGGGTGGACCCTGTGTCTCAGCTCTTTCAGCCAGGTTAGCTCACAGCATCCTAGTCACCTGTACTGGTCCACTTTCTGTTGCTATGGCAACACATCTGAGGCAGGGTGCTGTATAAAGCAGGAAGTGCCCAAATCTAGAGGAGCAGGTGCTTCAAAATACCTTTGCTCGACTCTGTGAGGACCTGCTGTGAGGGAGACACTGGCAGAACGCAGGAAGTCAGTCCCCAGTCCTCACAAGAACATATTTGAGGCTTCACTGGGGGGTTCTAGGCTGAGGTTTCATCCAGACTGTGACCCCAACTCCTCACTGGGGGATTCTAGGTGGGGGTTCCACCATGACCACACCCATCAGCCCTCTTGGTATTTCCCAGTCTCCCGGGCTGGTCTGGATCTCCTCAGCCTTTTTCAGTATTCAGAGTAGATGCAGGAACAAGCCTGTCACATGCCTGGCTCTGCAGTTTTCCACTTTGACCCAGCTCTCGCCCTGCCATACCTGGCCTCTCTGCCAGCACTGTCCAAGTCTCAAGATGTGTCAGCGCCTGGCTGTGCTTGTGTCTTGCAGTGTCTCACAGGCCTGGCGCCTTCAAAGCTGAGCTCTCCAAGCTGGTGATTGTAGCCAAGGCGGCGCACTCAGAGCTGTGACCCTCACCTGTTTTGGGCCCTCCTCCGTCAGCACACTGGCCCTGACTCCCTGTCTGGGGCCCTGGTTCCTGCAGGATCTGGCATTGCCTTGCACAGGTCACACTGGCATGCCAGCGAACTCTGGGCACTGTCGCCCATCTCACCAGGGAAGGTGCAGGACACGCGCTGGCTGGCACAGAGGGACTCCCTGGCTTTCCTGAAGTCAGACATGCTGCGGTTTCCCCTCTGAGCCGCGATGAATGCCCCCACCCCCCGGACTGCCTTCTTACCCCACCCAGAACACCTCCATTCAGAAGGATGGGAAGACATGGGACAAATAAATAAGTAACCGCCTTAGCCAGGGCCTCATGGGGTCAGCACTGACGTGGATTCCCACCATCTTCCAGATGCAGCGAATGCAGACACTCCCCCAAGGGTGACTGGCACGTAGGCGCCAGCAGTGGTCCCAAGGCAGCCAGTGACGTGCCCACAAGGACTAGTCCCTCTGTCTTGACCACCACGTTGCCTTGAATCTACACTGTTGTGTCCTGGCACTAGGACCCCAGGGCAAGGCCTCTGTGCCCATAGATTCTGGCTTCAGGTGGGCTTTTGAAATCAGATGAAAGCAACAAATCTTTAGATTTACTTTATGCTGTGTCTGTGAGTCAGTGAGTGTGAGTCTTTGTGAGGGGGCATTGGATCGGAAGCTGGAGTTACAGAGACTTGTGAACCACCTGTGGGTGCTGGGAGTCAAACCTAGGTCCTCCACAAAGGAGCCAGTGCTCCTAACTGATGAGCCACCTTTACAGTCCCAGTGAGAAAGCTTAAAAACAACAGAAACAGTTTTGTAGACAAACCTACATAAGCCCTAAAGTATCCCAGCCTTTCAGAGGGACCTTGTGGCCCCCCAGCTTTGACCTTGGGCCTGACCTCCACTGGATATCCAGTGAAAGACTAAGGCTGCCAGACAGGCCTGTGTCTCAGGGGACACTGAGTCCTCTGGATGGGGGGGTGAGTGGGGTGTCCCACAGCCAGGGCCAAGTGCCCTCCTGCTGCTCCTTGAGCTCCAAGGAAGGGACCCTAGGGAAAGGCAAGGGAATCTGTGAGTTAGAGGCTAACCTAGGCTACACAGTGAGTTCCAGGATTGCACAGTGGGACCTAACCTCAAGAAATATTCATTGGAATCCACCCAACCTCAAGAAATATTCATTGGAATCCAAGGACATGCACTTCTACCCTGGGAAGACAGCCACTAGCGGTGGCTTAGGGCCTAAAGTTCCAGGGGTTCTGAAAAGTGGATGTGGGTAGCACAGTCCTAGCCCTCAAGCCCCTGGGTAGGAAAGTATACAGGATGAGGTGAGGGCACAGGCCACCTGGCTCCTGTGTGCCTTTTTAGGGTCCTCAGATGTTACCAGGGATCTAAACCAGATAACGCTGGCTGCCAGGACACTGTCACTTCAGTCTTAAAGATTTCTGTGGAGGGGGGTGTTAGGAATGGGGCCAGCATCTCAAGCACAGGAGGCCAGTGGTGCCATTGAGCCACGTTCTGACCCTCAGATCGTCTTACTGGAAGCCCAGCCACCGGCCTGTGCTGTTGAGCCAAGGAGAGGCGGTGTTACCTGGTGGGGAAGCTATCCCCATCCTGTCATCGCTGAGCTGGGCAGATTATTCTGTCTAGTTGTTTGAGAGCCATGGAGCATAGTCTCGGGTCACAGGACAGCTTGTGGGAGTTGGCCCTCCTCCCTCCATGTGGCTCCCAGGATTAGGCAAACTCGGGTCCTCTGGCTTGGCAGCAATCACCTCTACCCACTGGTCCATCCTACCAGCCCTACAACAGCTTTAAGTATATTTCTAACCCAAGCCTGGAAGTACAGACTTGTGACCTTGAGTGTTCAAGCAGCGGAGGCAGAAGGATTGTGAAGTCCAAGCCACCCTGGGCATCTAAACCTAAAAGGAAACAGGGCTGGCCTCTGCATGGCATTCACGAGGTGACAATAATAAAATGCTATGTCCTGGGTTCGCTCTGATTTTCTTCATCTCACCCTTAGGAAAACAGCCCCACAACACTAGACTGTTCCCCTCACTGGTCCATTTGGTCAGCATGATGGAGTTTCAAGACCCTGCCCTAGGCTCAAGTGAGCTGGACTGACAAGAAAGGCTTCAGGGACCTGACACTCGTCTCCCACCAGCCAGGCCCACAGAGAAGCTGACAGGGGACATGACTACAGCCGGGCTCGGGCTGGGATCCCAGGGCAGGATACTATCTTTAAAAATAATCTCTAGCTAGCCAAGCAGTGGTGGTGCAGGCCTTTAATCCCAGCTCTTGGGAGGTGGAGGCAGAGAGATCTCTGAGTTTGAGGCCAGCAGTCTACAAAGGGAATCCAGGACAGCCAGTGCTGCACAGAGAAACCTTGCCTCGAAAAAGCCAACCTGTAACTGTTGGTAGAATCTTCTGTGTACATGTTGGCTGCCTGAGGAAGCCTAACTCCTGCCTAGCTCCCAGGCTCTAGATTGTGAACTTTGCCCTAAATACTCTGGATGACCATGACCAGTGCCCTCCCCCAACACCCAGATAACCTTCCCACCTGCAGCACTGCGCAGCTGCTGCCCGGCCCCGCCACAGACACGAAAAAAGATGCGGGATCTCAACAGTTCTCAGTGGACTTCCCCAGCCCCTCACTGGGGGCCTCCACCACTCAGCCACACCCCCGGCCTCTCACTGGGGGGCCTCCACCACTCAGCCACACCCCCAGCCTCTCACTGGGGCTTCTACACAATTAAACCCACATCTCAGCTGTGCACAAACGCAGCTGAAGCTTGCCCACTTTTCCAAGGTATCGAATGGGTTCAGGCAGCTATGGTGTCAAACATGACCGCAGGCGCACTCAGATACTGGAGGCTGTAGGCTCCAGCTACAGGCAGGAACTGCCACACAAAGAGAAAAGATGGATTTGTTTCCCAAATATGGAATTATAATTTAACACATACTTGTGTTTCCAGTGGCTTGACCCTGCAATGAAGCTGGGGACAGCCTCCGAGGTGGACTGGATTTCTGAGGTTCCCCAAGTTTCACAGCAAATCCTATCTTTCCTCCTGTGCTCCAGGAGTGACCCCTGCGCTTAGCCGGGAGTGGCTCTGTGTGGCTGTGTTCACATGGAGGTCAGACGCCAGCTTTCCAAAACTGGTTCTGTCTTACCACCATGTAGGTTTTGGGGATCACGCTTCAGTCATCAGGCCTGGCAGCAAGCGCCCCTACATGCTGAGCCATCTCACCTGCACTGTTTCTTTTCTTAAATGCCTGGGTGCAGTCTCCTAACAGGATCTCAGAGCAATAGATCGTGTCTTCAAGAGTCTGATCCCAACGAGGAAGTGTGCCTGGAGTCACTCCTTCCCCAGCCATGGTGAGAAGCTGTCGCTCCACACCCAGCATCTGTCTGCCGGTGTGTCCTTGGCTGGCAGGAGCATCAGTCTTTCTCAGTGCCCAGGCCCTGCAGCATTGGCGGAGTGAGCCTTCTTGTGCTAATGGCTCTACAAGGACCTGTTTGTGGCAGGCTCAGACGTGTTCAAGTCTAGTCTGGTGCCAGAGTTTGGACTCCATTTCCTAAAGCACCTTGGGAGGTCCTGAGGCTTAGGAAACAGTCGTTTGGCAGGGGGCAGGGGTCGAGGGTGTACAGTTCTTTCCTCCCAATTCCTGACAACCTTATTTGAAAGCATGAGATGCCTAGACAGTGAGGTGTCAGTGCCTGCTTGTCCTCCAGTGATTCGAGGTGGGAGCCAGAGGCTCAGGAGTTCAAGGCCAGCCTCAGCTACATAGGGAGTTTGGGGTCAGCCTGAGCTACATGTCTGAGAAGTAGGAGGAAGGGGTAGGGGAGGATGGGACAAAGCAGATGAGTTACAGTAGGGGAAGCAGAGGAGACACTGCCTCAGGCACAGGCGGTTGCTTCTGTGGTCTTGGGGACCAGTCACCAGTGGAGGGCAGTCCCCAGGTGGCTGGCTCCAGGTCAGATGCCGCCCTCGTCCAACATCCTCCCTAGGCCATCACAGATGCGGCACAGGTGGCTCCGGTAGGGCTCTGCTGGGCTGTACAGCGCGGCCAGGAAGTCGCCATTGGCAAAGTGGCCAAAGACGTGGTTAATGCGGCCGTGGGACTTGGCGGTGAGGTGCTGGCCGGCCGCCTGGTGCAGCAGGTCCCTGCACTCCAGCAGCCCTGCGGCCAGCACGCGCCGGTCGAAGGTGAAGTCCACCTGATGGAAGCTGAGTGCAGTCATGGCCAGGCTTCGGACCCGGCCCTGGAACCGCCGCAGCTGGGCCAGCTCGTTGCCATCCAGCTGGCCGGCCCGCAGCAGCACGGCCACCTTCACGGCCACCTTCACCAGGTTCTTCACCACCCTCTGTGCTTCCTTTCGGCTGCGCGTGAACTCCTTGGTGGCCCGGTAAAGTTCATCCAGGATCTCACTGCTGGTGTCGTCCAGGAACACGGCCACCATGGCCTTGGAGGCCATCTTGCTGAGGACTTTCTTCTGAGCCTGCAGAGCCAGGCTCTTTGTGCTGAAGGTGTCCATGGGTCCTGCCAGAATGACAGACATGGCGTTCAGGTCAAAGGAATGGATGTAGAATGGTAAAACTGGGCTTGGCACCATCCCTCTTCCCCACCAGCCGGCCAGCCGGATGTTTGCTAGCTGGGAGTTGAGGCTTCTGATGGCTGCCACCGAGGAAGGAGCCGGGAAGTTGCCCAGAAGACAGGCAGGCTGGTCCCTTCTACCCATCAGACCTTGTCCCACCACCTCAGGCAAGTGGTGGGACAAGTTGAGAATTTTCCCCAAAGAACAGAACTAACAAACACCGAGAGTTCTCATGCCTCTTCCTTAATATCCTTCGTTTGTTTGTTTGTTTTGTTTTTGTTTTCCAAGACAGGGTTTCTCTGTGTAGCCCTGGCTGTCCTGGACTCGCTTTGCAGCCAGGCTGGCCTGGAACTCAGAGATCCACCTGTCTCTGCCTCCCCAAAGTGCGGAGTTTACAGGCGTGTGTCATCGCACCCAGCTCCTTTTTTTTGTTTGTTTGTTTTGTTTTGTTTTTTGTTACATATACAATGTTCTGTCTGCATGTACACCTGCAGGCCAGAAGAGGGCACCAGATCTCACTTTAGATGGTTGTGAGCCACCATATGGTTGCTGGGAATTGAACTCAGGACCTTTGGAGGAGCAGCCAGTGCTCTTAACCTCTGAGCCCTCAAAGCCCTACCCCTAAACCCTTGCTTCTTTCCTAATAAATTCCTCCATACCTCCCACGGTCTGGAGCCCCTGACTCTCACAGTGACAGTTCATCCCTCAGCTTAGCCTGGGTTCCCCTCCTCCAGGAAGCCATCCTTGTGTTCGTAAGCTGACCTGGGAGGTATTCCCTCTGAGCCATGCTGCGCTGCGTGGCTGCAACTGCCTCCGCCAGACCACAGAGGAACATCACAGTGCCTGACCCCTCATCTGCTGTGTTCCTGGAGACTCCAGAGCCGTCTGGGAGTGAACAAACCCAGAGGAGCCGGGGGACACACAGAGAGTCACCCTCAGACCTGGCCCTTGGGCCTCAGTTTTTGCCTCTGATCAGCTGACCACCACCCACCCAGCCCTGATGGCCAGCCAAGCAATGCCCCCACAGCGCACTCGCCCCCAGTCTCCTACAAAGCCTGCCTTTGTGTGAGCCCAGACCTCGAGGGTGGGGAGCCCCAGCTCTCAGCCATCAGGCAGGCACAGATGACTCCTCAGGCTTCGCTGTCCCCATCGCTCACCACCCTTGCTGTCCGCCAGCCAGGGCCCAGACATGGCTGTTGACACAGGGCTACGTGGCAGCCTGGCACCTGCCACATGAACCCATTTCACCACTGCAGCCAACACCATTCTGCAATGAACACAACCATCCTGAGTGGCCCAGCTGAAAATGAACGCATAATGGTGGAACCTGTCCCCTCAAAGGCCACTGAACCACGAGGCCACACAGCAAGAGAAGCCGGTCTGCCCTCCATGTCTCCACACCTGAATCCTCCTGCCTCCTCCCTAATGTCTCTCAATGGCGCTGAGTCTGAGGTGGGCTGAGCCCTCGCCCGCCACACAGAGCCCTGGGCTCCGACCCTGGCGCCACGTCAGCTAGGTATGGTGGCACACCTGTCATCCAGTGCTCAGAGATGAGGCAGGAGAATCAGAAGTTCAAGGTCATCCTTGGCTACGTGGAAAGCTGGAAGTCACCCTGGGCTACCTAGTACTCTCAAATAAAAAATAAAAAAGAGAGAGAGGGAGAGAGAAATAAGACACGGGACCCACAGGGTCCTCTCCAGCACCGTGGGGGCTGTCTTCCAGTCGTCACTGAAAATGGGCAGTTCTCAGGAGAACAGACTCTGGAGTCCCCATTTGGCTTGCAGGCTGGGTAACCCCAGAGGAGGGCTGACCCTCTCTGGGCCTTGCTTTTCTCATGGATAAAGCTGAATTTGGACTCTGTGTCTCAGAATTGAAGCTGAGTGTTTGGACAGACTTCCGGAAGCAGGAAGAATGGCAGGGGACACAGCTGTGGTGCCTCCTGTCCAGACCTTCCCAGCTTCTACTCAGTGGCCACCTGGGGCAGCCAGCTGCTGGCCTCCACTTCCTGTTCTGAAACCATTGTTCTGACAGAAACTCCCCATCCAAGCTACCAGGCCAGGATAGCTGCCTTCCTTCCTGCCTACCAGAGCCTGTGTGACAGCCACGTGAGGCCTTCAGGGCTGGGACTTTCCCAGGGACAAGGTGCTGTGGCCTTGGTCCCTGCCCACCCAGCACTCAGCCAAAGTCTGGAACCAAAACAGCCCACTCCGGCTTCCAGAACTCTGCCCCAACACTCATTCAGTCATTCAACTGCCCTAATGGGCATTTATGGAATACCAGTTGTGTACCAAACACCAGGGACACAGAAGTGACCGAAAGAGATCTTGTCTCTGCCTCCCAGGGGCCCCACTTCTGCTGTCTTTCGATTATAACACAATTTGAGGACCATCTTGACCCTGAAATTGAATTCACAGGCCACATGGCCTCTTCCATCCCTTAATTCATTTTTTAAAATGTATTTTTTCTCCTGACTCAGCCTTCCCACCATCGACCATGTGTCAACTGTGTCTGGCGGGGACCCTTGAAGAGACCTGTAAGCCAGCTGGGGCAAGGAAACACAAGAAGCCAACAACAGGAAGAAAAAAGTAAAAATTGGGCCTTGGGGATGAGAAAAAGCGAGGTCAAGGCTGACAGAAAGGCCACATGTCAGGAGCCTTTGAACCCCCAGGACAGGAGGGACAGGTCCCGAGGAAGGACAGAGCAGTGGAAAGCAGCCTTGCCAATCACTGCAGCTCCCAGCACCCCACAAACAGCCTGTGGGTTCCTGCTGGACACAGTGCCTTCACTCTCACGGGGTCGGAGTATGTCTGCCCCTCACCTTTGGTGTAGACAGGTGCAGTCCCTAGGGGACATGCTCTGGACTCAGAGGTCCATCACGGCCCCCACAACAAGGCTGAGCCATAGTGCCTTTGCATGGCTGCAGCTTCCAAGAGGCCTTTCCGAGCGTAAAGGTCCAGGCTCGGAGTCACCTCTCTGACCCAGTTTTGCCTTTTCTTTTCCTTCAGGTTTTGGTTGTCTTATGGGTTTGTTTTTGAGTCAAGGTCTGACCTGAAGCCCACTGTGTAGCCTTGAACTCCTGATCCTCCTGCCACGATCTCTTGAGTGCTGGGATGCCAGAAGGGTCGCCATAGCTGGTGTAGCTGTGCTGGTGGTGGAGCAGCTCCGGTCTGTGGGAAAGGAGAGCCTGGGAGGGAGCCAGGTCTCTGTTGGTGGGGTCTGCCGTACATGCACCAGCAGGCATACAGCTGGTGCTCACTAAATGTCTGTGCAATGACTAATCAACTCCTGAAGGCTAAGTGGGGTGCGAAAATCTCTCTGGAGAGAGAAGCATGAAAGGATACGAGAGCCCCAGTGACCGGAGGTTCGAACTGGGATCACCCACCACGTGGGACCCCCACACGGGACCAAGAACACAGTGCAGGAAGCCATCCTGACAGCTGAGACACCGGCCCAGAGCTGTGAGCTGGGTTCCCACAGAGCGCCAGCGGCTCTAACCCAGGACCTTGGTAGTCTCAGGGCCTTAGGGCGAAGCTGGGTCAAGTGGCCTCAGAGACGGCTGGGTGGACGAAGAGCTTGTGTCTAAGTGTGCAGACCTCGGGGCCCGACTCCCCACACAAAAACCACGCGGAATGGTGAGTGCCTGTAGCCCGGGGCTGAGGAGGCAGAGAGGGGGAGCCCTGCGCACTGCTGACCTGCCCCCTCACTGAGCCCCAGGTTTAGTGAGACTCTGCCTCAAAGAACAAGGTGGACAGCAACTGAGGAGGACACCGAGTGTCAGCTCCGTTCTCCACAGACACACACGGATGGCCATGAGGACGTGGCCATTAATGGCGACCGGGATGGCTCCTGGACAACAGTGTGCCCCAAAGAAGCAGCTGTGTCTCACCTGTCACATCAGGTTTCAATCAACAAACGTATGTGACATGTGCCACACTATATGACATTCGCCCACAATCACCCTCCAGCTTCGAGAATGAACGCCCCAAAGGGCTAGGCAGCAGGGAAAGCTTGTCCAGCATGCGGGAGGCCCTGGCTTCATCCCCACACAGACGGCCCAGCACTTGACAGGCAGAGGCAGGAGGATGTCTGTGAGTCAGAGGCTAGCCCGGTCTACACAGTGACATTCTGTGCCGGAGATAAAAGGTCTTCATTGCTTTCTGAAGGCGTTGCAGGTGCTAGGGTACTAGGAGACGCGGCCACCCCACTTGCTCCCTCTAAAGCCCCGCCCCCCACTCTTCCAACCCCCCCCGCTTGTGCACGCGCGCACACACACACACACACACACACACACACACACACACACACACACTGCCCGCTTGCTCATGCCGCCCTTGCTTTTGTAAATAAAGTTTTACTGTCACACCTCTCCTGCACTAACTTGCATATCATGCAGGCGGCTCTCTCTTGGGACTTAGAGGGGATGACGGTGGATGGCCCTTGGCTCTTTTCACTGGTCCATCAGTGTGCCAGGCCCTGACTCCACAGTCGGCCACACAGTAATGAAGTCCAGGTTTCTGAAAAGTCCAGGGTCCATGTGATCACCATGGCCACCTTCAGGCACAGGGGTGACAGGAGAAACTGTGAAACTGGAAGGCCATTTCCAACAGACTCGAGAGGGAGGATAAACCTGGCCAGACCACAGCAAACAACAGCCGGGTCACTGGGCAGTCTCAGTTTCTTTTGCGTGTGTGACGTGTGCCACCACACCTGACAGCTTTCTTTCTTCACAATACGATTTACGTTCTGTTGACATGGCATTGGGTAAACTTGCTTGACACCAAGCCCAGTGAACCGAGTTCGATCCCCGTGGTGGAGGAGGGAGCCAAGTCCCACAGTCGTCCTCTGACCTCCACGTGCACATTCTGGCTTGTGCACACACATAAATCCAACATGATTTACTTAGCTGGAAGCTCTTACTTCTTGACTTTTAATCTGGGTTTAACAACCAGATGGCAAGATTCCTGAAACCCAGCAGTGGCTCTCGTGAGGCCTGCACTGCTGCCCGCCCCTGGGCAGCCCCGGCTCATGAATTCTTTATATCCCACACACAGCACATCCATAATTGATGTGGCCAAGCCCGCCGCCCTCCCTCTCCACCCTGGCTGAATGTCCCAGGAGCGGCTGGGCCACAGCCCCTCATCACGTCACCCAGGGCCCCACCAGTGTGTGACTCATTGGGGACTCGGCCTGCTCACGGCACCCTTAGCCTCAGGCTCACAGCCCATCCCCACCGGCCTTCTGGGAAATCAGAAAAGAGAGAAGTTTCCTGGTGGGGAAGACACGGGGGGGGGGGGGGGGAGTCGGTCTCAGACAGGACCCCCACAATGATGCTGTCACCAGAATGGGCAAGAGCAGGCTGGGAGGCAACATGGCCCATGCTGAAGAAATGAGGGTGGAGAGGGCTCGGCAGGAAAAAGCACCTGCTGTCAAGTCTGACAAGCCGAGTTCAAGCCCAGGCCCCACTGGCTGGGAGAACATTCCTGCTGGCTGTCCTCTAAGCTCCACAAGCACAAAGGGGAATAAAAAGAAAAATAAGAGACTGTCTGTCACAGAGCACAGGGGCACGGGTCCTTGACTCAGCTTCTATACACGACTTCTTTAGGGACAAAGATTAAGACAGGGGCCTCACTCTGTAGCCCACACTAGCTTTGGATGTACCGTGATTCTCCTGCCTCAGCCTCTTAGATTCCTTCTACCTCACCCAGCATCCATTCAAGGTTTTAACAAAACAGGGGAAGCTGGGTGAGGTGGTACAGGCCTTTCATCCTATTACTCGAGGAGGCAGAGGCCAGCCTGGTCTACAAATCAAGTCCAGGACAGCCAGGGCTACACAGAGAAACCCTACCTTGAAAACAAAACAAAAAAAAAATGAAGAGTATGAAGGTCAATGGTGTAAGCACTCAGCCCCAGAATGTATCCGCTCCCCCAATTTTTTAACATTCCACAGCCTGCATTCTGGTTCTTCTGACCCTACCCAGGATCCCCAAAACGTCAGAGGTTCTTGTGAGCCCAGAGGCAGCTCTTTCTCTCTGCCCTCAGCCCTCCATGGCTCCCACCGCCCTCACCGTTGGAGCCCAAGTCCTCAGAGTCCTGCTCTCCCTTCCCCACCCCTCCTGCCTCCCTTCTCCCTTGCTCCCAGCCACGGTGCCCACTCCATGGACCTCCCACACAGCAGGCCCCACCCTGCCCCAGGGCCTTTGTGCACGCTGAGCCCACCACTTAGATTCTCTTTCCCTAGGTGGCTTTGTGGCTGGTACCCTGGTCACTCCTGGATCTCTCCTCTCCCTGAACACCCAGCTCCCTGTCCCTTCCTCACCATGCAGTTTCAGTTAGAACTCAGGCCAGGGTCTAGTTCCACCAACATGGAGGCAGAAGAGGATGGCCCCGGGCCAGCTTTGGTCACTGCTGTGTTTTGGTGTCATTAGGCACCACACTTGGCTTCCCCTCAGTGTTCAGGAACTGTTTATCAAATGACTAAGCAGCTTCTCATGGTTATGAAAAAAGGAGAAACTGAGTCAGAGGTCTGGGAGCTGACAGACATGCACAGAATAACACTAAGTCAGAATCGGGACTTGAATCCAGCATCTCACCAGGAGCTCATCTCACAGCAGCCTCCTCCTGGGGGCTATTGGTCCTGTCTGGGTAGGATCAATAGCTGTGTGCACCATTGACCCTTCCAAGATGCCTTCAATTGGCCTTCGGTCAGGACTGCAGAAACCCCACCCCCACCCCTAGAGCACCCTCCGGAGGAGCACCCTTAATTACTTCAGTCAATTCCCAGAAGGGCAAGCACAGGCTTGGGGCCTCAGAACAAGCACTCAGAGGGAGACACGGGGTTCTGGGAAGAATGGGATGGCTGGGCCCCTGTTCACGCTTCACCCCCACCCCAAGCCTCTGCTGAGACCTGGGTGTGTCCCCTGTGGCCATGACTATTTGGACTCAAGGTATACTGAGTCCTCTCATATGGAACCAATGAACAAATTTTTTTGTGGCTGAGTTCAGCGCTCAGAGGGTAAACTGAGGGAGAGAGCTCTCATGTCCCTCCATACCCTCAGGATCCACCACTAAACCATCACAGGACTCCCAGCCCTGGCCCAAGCCTGGGAAACCCGGTGCAGGTGTTCAGTGCTTTGCTCTGTTACCTTATAAAGTCCCCGTGGCTCCGCCCCGTTCCTCCCAGCCACCCGCGTCCTAGGTGTGGTCAGATCATGAACTTGTTATGTTTTAAAGTTGGCGCCTGTGTTGAAGAGCCGGATTGTAGGGGGCATTGGCATGTGCAAAGGTCCTGGGGCTGGACACTCATGCGGGGGACCGGGGAGATGGGTCCTCTGAGGTCCCAGGACAGAAAAACAGGAAGTTTGGCACACAAAGCATACATTCCTGCTCTTCATTCTTTCTTTTCTGGTTGTTTGTCGTTAGATACAGGGTCTCACTATGTATTCATGAGTTCATAGGAACTCACTATGCAGACCTGGCCTCAAACCTACAGGTATCCACCTGCCTGTGTTCCAAGCACCGGGGTGAAAGCCATGCACCACGACCCCACTGGGGTCTACCCACTGGGATATACCACAGCCTCCCATTTGCTTTAGACATCGTCTCTCTGTGTAGCCCACCCTGGCTCAGCCTCTGCTTTTAATCCTCCCAGAAGCCTCAGGGAGTCATGAATCAACCTTACCAAGTCATAGACTGGGAAACTGAGGCTTATAATTAAATTACTTGTTCAATGGAGTCAGGTTTGTCTGAGATGTGTCCTGACCCCAAGGAAGGCCTTCAGAGGTTTCATAGCCCAGAGCTTGGGAAGTGACCCAGAGGCCTGTTTCCAGCTTGGCCTTCCACCCTGTCCCTCCCCGGACCCGCTGCTCACAAAGGTGAGAAGCCACATTCCAATTCTCTCTCTGACTCAACAGGCTGATCTGTGATCACTTTCTGGGCTTCCTTTTACCCTCCAGGCCACTACTGAAAGAGCCAGGAGGCCACAGACCTGGATCAGGTCACCTGCCAATTATGTGAGGGGGACTGTCCCAGTTCCCAGCTGGCAAAACTTAGTCCACGCCCTCGGGGCGATGGGAAGGGTGACCCGGCTCAGGTGGGACCCCCTGCACCAGCCAGAGCCACAGTGGGGTCCAGCTGGCCACTGCAGGGCATATCCAGACACACCTGCACAGGGCCAAGTCCATCAGATCCCCCCTTGAGGGCGGATGCTATGACCATTACAGTAGCCCACAGCAACGCCCCTGCTCCCACAGCCAGTCACCGGTATATAAAGGGAAACTGAGCCTGGGATGCACAGGGGACGTTGGGGGGAGAAGAGGGGACGGGAAGGACCCATAGCTCACCTGCTCCCTAGGATCCGTCTGGCCGTCAGTTTTGTGCAGGCGCCTGTGTGGGGCTGGAGGCACGGGCGGGTGGCTCTGAGCCTGGTGGCTGGGCGAGAGGCCACGCCCCTTCGTGAACACGCCTCCACATCGGGCAGGCCACTCCCTCTCGAGAGCCTCACTGGCCCAGCAAATGGTAGGGCACGGGCGGTGTACGAAGGGGCCAATGGCAGCAGGCCTCTGCCAGGAGGTGGGAGGCGTGGTGGGGGCGTGACGAGGGCGTGGCCTCCGACGGGGGGGGGGGGGTTCCTCCGGAATAGAGCGGCGCCGGATGCCCAGGCGAGGGCGGCGCAGGGGGTGCCACTGCGGGAAGGAAGAGGGAAAGGAAGGAGTCTCCGGGAGAGAAAAATGGGGTACGCATGCACCCCGACAGAGATCCGAGAGGCCAGAGCAGAGAGACACGCCCCCGCGAGGCACGTGGACCTCTGTGGTCCCCCTTCAGTTTACCCACTGGGTAGTTAGGGTGCTACCTCGGACCTCCGTGACAAACGCACCTCAGCATTTGGCTTGGGACGATCTTTGGGGTTCCTGAGTACTGCGGAGAACTACCTGGTGTCTGGGGCCAGGAACTTGAGTCCAGCAGACATCTGCTCGGCAGGGTGATAAGCATGGCCTCCACCCACTCCCGTGCCAGGAGCCCCCCACCTCATAGGCACACACGACCCCAGACACGGCTCAGTATCCCCAGTAGAGACCACGGCTCTAGATTTTCGTACCGCAGACCTCAAAAAAGTACGACCGGGCAGCTAGTGTGTGTGTGTGTGTGTGTGTGTGTGTGTGTGTGTGTGTGTGTGTGTCACTGGAGCAGCTTTTGTTGGCATCTGGTTGCCAGAGCGCCTCCATGTAGTGAGTCTGGGGGAGCCACAGAAAACATGGGTGTGGGAAGGTGGGGCTCAGATCCAGTGGGGTGGGCTAAGGGCGTGGCTCTGGGTTGAAACCCCAACTACAACCCCAGGGAAGGGCTGGGGGCACGGTCAGGGGTAGAGAGATTGCCTAGCTTGCAGGAAGTCCATACTCAGCTTAGAGAAGAAGGAGAAGAAGAAGAAGAAGAAGAAGAAGAAGAAGAAGAAGAAGAAGAAGAAGAAGAAGAAGAAGAAGAAGAAGAAGAAGAAGAAGAAGAAGAAGATCATCACAATCTACAAATCGTCCGTGAGGATGAGGACCCAGCTAGAGGCAAGCATGTAAAATGGCCCTAACTTTTGGAAAACAGTTTGAAAGTTCCCGAAGATCTCCATGGCCCCCAGGCATTCCCCACCTAGGTACAATTGCGTGGAAAGAACAGATTCTGACGGTGTTCGTGGTATTTTTAATTGACTTATTCACAGGAGCCAAAGGATGGAAGCAAACAAAGAGCCCATCACTGGGAGACAGATGAGCTGTGTTCTGTATGCAGGGAGGAATATCACTCAGCCTGGAAGAGGGAGGGCATTCAGCCACCTGCTCCACGTGATATTTAGTGACATGAGCCAGACCCAGAAGGACACACCCCGCGGGGTTTCCTGCATTAATCAGAGCTACAGAGACAGGAAAGGGGGGGCGGGGGCGGGGGCCGACTTAGTGTCAAATGGAAATGGAGTTTCAGAGCACAAAGATGAATAAAGCTTGAGGGGTCAGGAGGTATCGGGGCTCATCTTGGAACAAGAAACCATAGAGATTAAAAGATTATCTCAGAAGGGATCTTCACCAGCGATGAGAGCTGCACCCCAAGAAATCTCCGTGGCTTGACAGGTCTCTGGTCCTGGGATCTGGTCAGGGCTGCGCAGATTCTAGCCGCGCCCGGCAGGAGGCGCGCTCTGCACGCGTCCGGGAGTTCAAGTTCTCCCTCCCGCGCCCACACTCCGGCCACCAGGGTGGGCGGGTCCTTCACACGGAGGAGGGGTCGCGGGATGTCACTCCAGACTGCGCCACCAGCATCCCGGCACCCAGCAGTCTGCCTTGCACCTCTCCAGGATGTGTGGCCTCGATCTTTTTCCCTGGGCCTCTCCTGGGGCCTGAGCGATGAGACCACAGAATGTGGACAAGGCTGGGACCTCACATGAGGCAGGGGCTCTGTATGCAGGGCCGTTAGGTTCCCCTCCCCCAAGACCGGATGCTGCCTTAGGGTGCAGCCCCTGGTTCTCGGAGCTCCCTCACTACATCAGCCTGTCTGGCTCTGGCCTGTCACACTCTGTGTGGAGTGACACCCACACACCAGGATCCATCTGTCCTCAGGCACAGGAGCCGACCCCTCAGAGGGGGGAAGTCCCTTACTGTGGACCCAGCCATGGAGTTCCCGAGATAGTTCATGGGGCTCCTGGTCTCTCCTTAGGGTCAGGGGCTGGGCATGGCGGTTGAGGCTGAGGCTGTCTGGCCAGCTGGCTGTACCACCAGCCAGCAAGGAGGCACCATCAGTCGCCAGCCCACAGGCTCCGAGTGGGAGGAGATGGCTGGCAGATAAAATGACAGGTGTGAGTGTGCGTGCCTGGGGGTGCCGTCCAGGTTGCTGTCTCTGAGGGTGCTGACTCCCTTCACCTTGGGCTGGCAAGATCAAGGGCCAAGATCCCTGCCACCTTAGGAGCAGGGTGCACATGGGTCAGTGGGTGCAGCGTGGCCCTGCATGCTCAGGCGCTAACAGTTACCAGCCCAGCAACTACCTGCCCTCAGGCTCCGGTGGAGGCAGGAGGATCTCGGATTCACAGTCTCCAGTCTGTAGTGAAGGGGAGGCTAGTCTGGGCTATGTGAAATCCTATCTCAAAAAGTAAAATAAAACAAACTTTAAGTGAATAGGCAAAGCTCTCACGTTCTGTTGTCTCTCTTCCTTCCTTCCTTCTTCCTTCCTTCTTCCTTCCTCCTTCCTTTCTTCCTTCCTTCCTTCCTTCCTTCCTTCCTTCCTTCCTTCCTTCCTTCCTTCCTTTTTTGATAGGGCCTCTGTAGCCCAGGCTGGCCTCATCCTTGCTGCATAGCTGACTATGACCTTGAACTCCTGCTTCAACTCTCCAGTGCTGGGATACGGGAAGCATGTGCTGCCTCAGCCGGTTTACCCCCTCTCATCCTGTGCATCTCAGTATGGCTTCAAACTCATCATCCCCCTGTCTCAGCTTCTGGAATCAGACTGTGGAGGACACAGCTGGTCTCACCACTCTCCCGTGTCTCTGTTTGTCTAAGCAGGATTTGGCATACAGAAGGCACTCATTAAATGTTCATTAACCAGTCAAGTGAGGTTTCTGTCTTGAATGAGCCAGACAGAAGGACAGCTTTGTCACAGAAGGCAGGAACTAATCAGCCTCAGGGCCAGAGGACTCACTCTAGGACATGCTTATGTCCTCTGTCCTCTCCCAGCCCTGCTGGGTCTGACCACAGTCACTATCACCATGCCCTCACAGGTCCTGGCGTGTCAGTGGCATCCCAGGGGGAGCACAGAGGGCCTGGTGATCCTGGAGGGCTGCCTGTAAAGGGCCCCCACTCTGGTGAAGCCTCCTGGGTCCCGAGCTCACTCCTGAGCCTCACACCCACCACTGTCCCCACGGGTGACATCACTGGGGCTGCGTCTCTGCTGCCGCTGGCCTCATCTTCCCACCTCAGCGAGGTGTGTCAACAGCACAGCAACCCGATAAAGGGGTCACCCGGCGCCGAAAACTGCTCGGAATCTGGGCCAATAAACATTAGCTAATGTTTTGCCCAATCCCTGGGGAGCCCAGAGGAGAGGCAGGCTGTGATGGCGTCCCTCCAGCAGGTGAGGACCAGGAGTCAGGAGGTGGTGTTCACCTCCCCTGAGATGCGCAGCATCCTGCACAGACTGGTCAGGGCTGGCTCCACCCTGTGCACCCCTGCAGTCTCCCTGCAGTCACCACAGGCTCAGCTTCCTCCCCCTCTGTCCTCCCAGCACAAGCAGACCCATAGGCCAGGCTAGGAATCAGGCAGGGGAACTTCGCTGTCCCTTCAGGTCACACTCATCTCCAGTTCCAGGGCAGCCCACCAGCCCCTGCCGGCCGGCACCGCCTCCTGCCTCCCCCCTCCTGCTCTGCCCCTTGCTTCCCCCACTGCAGCCACCCGGCTTTCCTTGGTGCCCCTCCAATAACAGGCTTTGTCCTGCTCCAGCACTGTCATGGGGGCTGTGCCTTCTGCCCCAGGGCCTTTGCACATGCATGCTGTTCCTGCGACACTGTTCCCTGATTGTCCTAAACATCCTTTCACTGCCAGGCGTTGAGGAAGGAACAGGGAACTCCTGCCTAGGCTGTGGAGGGAAGGGGGGTGGTTGTCTTCTCGCCCAAGGAAGTGGGGGGGGGACTTTGCTCCAGAGAAAAACCTTGTTTGACCTCCTGTGTTTAGTCATGAAGAATTCTTCCTTCACCAGGTCTCAGTTTCCCCCTTGATAAAGCAGGTAACATTTCTCAAATGCCTGTCACCGTTTCAAATGTCCAGGCTGTCCCAAGCCAGCCTTGTCTCAAACCACAAAGGAGTAACCGGGAAGTGCAGCTACAGGAAGGGTAGGTATCCAAGCTTGGGAGTCTAGCTGAGGCCCCATCCCAACCACGCCCCAGCCTCCCCCCCCCCCCGGGATGGAATCGGGGTGCGAGGTGTCTTACTATAGAAAGTGTTTTGGTTTCTGAGGAAGGGCTCCTCTTCATAGTCTGGGCTGATCTTGAATTCACCATCCTCCTGTTTCAGCTCTTTGGGCTCTCGGTTTCCAGGCCTGTCCCACTGCATCCCCACCTGGAGGACAGTTCAGTCCTGAGCTTCTGAAGGACTTGGCTCTGCCCACGTGTTCAACTGTTCACCAGGCATGGGAGCAAAACTGCCCTCAGGAGCCGACAGTCCTGTGCACAGATGTTCCTAGCCGCTGTGACCACACCTGTGGTGGGGACAGGCCTGAGGCTGGCGAGTGTGAGGCGGTGGCAGAGTCTCACATGGCAGAAGGACCGTGACGTCACTGCTCTGGGCCCCTTACCCAGGCTTCATGCCACCTCTGCTAGAATGTGTGGAGGCCATGCCCCAGGTCCTGAACTTCCCCCAGTGCCATCCCCAGCCTCTGGGGTGCCCAAGGAAGAGACACCTGGGTTCTTTTTCCCCC